GTGCCTCGGGGTCCAGCGGAGGAGGAGCCTTTGCTGTCTTCACTGAACAAAATCTGCAACCTCTAGTGCACGTGTCGCCCATCAGCTGAAATAAGAAAGTCGTTCTGATCTTTACATTGTGAGAAACACAATGAGTTAGATCAGGTAAATCCCAATCCTGTGGAAAAAAAAAACCAAACTAGGACAGCGCTTTACTCTCAGTTTCTTGTAATAAACCCGCTCTGCTACAGTAGAGATCCAGCAGTGCACTACAAACAGCTCAGATGTTCACAGAATACTGAAGAAATGTCTTACCATAATAGTAGCTGTAGCTGTGGCGTGTTCACCACCTCCCCAGCATTCTCCAATGTTGGGACAACGTGCTTCTTCACATACCTGAAGGTAAAAAACAGTCATGTGCCTGTCTTTTCTCCATATTATTGTTGAAACTTATTATTAAGATATTCATCAATTCCAGGAGTAGTCTACAAAGAAAACATAATTCCTTCTGTGATAAATCAGGAGCTACATTTTCCCTAAGAAGCCAGTAGAACAGATAGGAAAAGAAGAATTGTTTCCTGACATCTGTTACCATTCTTTTCCTCTATTTCACAACTCAAAAAACTCCTCAATCATGTAATTGCCTTATTAATTAGCATGGATTGACATTAGCATTTTAAATTTACAAACCGATAAAGTGTTCACAAAGTCTATGATGCATCAAAGCATGATCTTACTTGGGGGAGGGAAGAAGATAAAAGCTCTTCATGCATACCCACCGCTTTTTACCATCTGGAAGGCATACCTTCATGAAGTGCTCTTATTTCTAGAATTTCTTTTTATTCAAAACATGTTTGTAACTGAAATTCTTTGCGTTTCCACTAAAAATGGTCACACAAAGCATCTTCTGATCTCTTTGGTGATGCAAGTAGTAAACCCTAGTATTTAAAAATCACTGCAGGAAAAACATAAATACTCTGTTGGATTTGGCTATGGATAAAATTCACTGCTGACAAAAAGGGACCAGCACTGGGCTTGGTTTCAGTGGGGAAGGTCATGCAAGACACGACTTCTACCTGTCTTCTACAGGGAAAGAATTTTGTATCTGTAAAAAATGCCTTATTCCTCCTGGAAAACTTTGTTGGAACTGGATTTACCGTATGAAGATTTAAACTTCTCAAGGTATTCTTTAGTTTGTTGTAGTTCTTTCCCATGGGAATCTCTGTTTTCAGCCACGGAGGAAGTCGCAGCCTGAATAACATCAAGTAAACATAAAGATGAATAAACTATTTACATGGTAAATTTCCATTAATTTCACAGATCCACTTCAGTGAGTTACAGATCCCAGCTAGGAAAGGTTCCTTGAAAACTGATGCAACTCAGCAGCCAATATGAAAATAACTGACAGTCTCAACGAACTTCTCTCTTCCATGTTTATCACCATCCCAACACTGAGAAGCATAAATTTGGTGTCACTGGAAGCTTTGAAAATACTAAACGTATCGGTAGGATCTGACAGAGCCAGGCTAGAGACTGCAACAATTAATGACAATGTACGTTATATATCTATGAAGAAGTCTGATCAAATTTGCAGCTGGAAATATGAGTGTCTTAAGTAATTTTTAATTCACTCTTTTTCTGTTTTACTCTATCAGTAGTATTTTTTCAACACCGAAGCAGGGTACACTCACTGACTGATGTATATTTGTAATTTAATGCATGGAAAAGGCACTCAGGTGAGAAAACACAGGTCTTTGTGTTTTGTTACACATTTGAAGTTAGTAATCCGTTTGTTCTCTCTTGAGAAAATATGAAGTTTACAAGCCGGTATAACAGAATTTAATAAAAACATTCTGTCTACGTTTTGTAGTTAATACTAAATCGGCAAAGCAACACAGTGCATGGACACAACTACAGTTGTTCAAAATCACAATTACCTTTCTCCTTTCTGACGCTTTAAATTGCCTTTGTACTCAGCCCACGTGCTCTTGTCTGTCAAATCTCCAGATACAAAGTCTTGCAAGTCTGGTCCCTTTTGCAGGAACTCTTTTTTTTCCTCTGGCAAAGAGCCCAATGTTCCGTACTGGTTACGCACATAGCTCCCAGACACCTAAAAGAAGGAACGCTGCAATTTACCGAATTATAAACGCATGTACAGCATCTACAGCATTATATACTGAACAACCACCCGTCCCGTGCACTTTGTGTAAGCGCTTTCCCAACTGCCTCACGGTTAAACACCTCACTCTGCTTTTCGTTTTGAGCCAGGTGTAAGGCGCAAAGCACGATCGCCTTCAAAATGTCTTAACGTGACGTAGGTTTGAGTACAAATGACGCTGAACGGGTAACGTGAGACCTCGGGGCTGAGAAACAGGGCGGTGCGGCGACGCACCCGGGCGCTCCCACGTCAGCCG